ACCAAAACAAAAACAGGATGCAATTTTAAATAAAGTTAAATCGTTGTAACAGACAACACCTACTTTCACATCCATTATTACATTCTTATCGCAAAAACTACAAGATAAGTAGTAGAAGCACTCCAATAACACATTTCTTTTTTCATAGGAGAGCAAACAAGCAGACGGATCACCTGGTTACCGCCGCTCATGGACACTTGGAAACTCCAGCGTCACAAGTGCATTCCCAACCGTTGTGAGATTTTAGCCTCAACGCTCCATCTACATAGCATCCTCTTTAATAATAATAGTATCCTCTTTAATAGTAATATGGGAAATCTTAAGCATGTTTCAGTTAAGTACAGAACTAATCATAATCATTTTTATTTACTAATTTAAATCCTTTTTTTGCTTACAGTTCATACAAGGTTTGATGGTTTAAAGTTGTGGTTTTTAATTTATGTGTTATTGATATTTCCGCTTAACATGCTTAAATCAAAGTACTTTTAACATGAAGTAAAATCAGAATAGAATAGAATGGAACGGAACGAAATGGAATGGAATAGAATAAAATATTCTTTATTGCGCACGAATCACACTATGTTAGATAAATATTACAGACAGATGAGTACATTTTCTGTAATTAAATGTCATCAAGGTTTACTGGCTTCAATCTTAATTATTTGACTAAATACTGCGCTCATTTACCCATCACCGTTCAATACTTTAGTTTTAGACAAATAAAGACGGATAACAAATGCCTAGATCATTCCATAAATTATAGATTTTATTATACATTTATGTATCTACCTATCTTCTTAAATATATTAATATTTGCGAATAATAAATGTGTCGGTTAGATAATTTAGATACTAAGGTACTACGGACCAAAGAGCCAATAACTAAAACGCCAACTAGAAAGTTTAAAAACTCGAGTCTGTGGGGTTAAAAGAACTCTTTCAAAATCTAATGAACGAATAACCGAGAAACACTTCTAGTTACAGGTATGCAAACCCGACGTACTCAAGCTAATAGTAACACTCCCAAATCTATATAAGTAATATCCAAGTCGTCCCATACGTTACCAATTTTCCCATTTAAGTCTCAAAGTGTACGTTAAACAAACTTCTATCCATCTATTGTGTATTTTTATACTATAAATTTATAACATTCGCAAAGAAAGTTAGCGTCAGGTAGCCAGCCGACCATAAAAAGAAAAAAACCGAAACCATTTTGCAATGAAATAAAAGACTCAATTTGAAAAAAGAAGAAGTTTTGTTGTTGTTTGTAAGAAAATGATGATAAAATTCTTATTAGAATAAGAAATTAATCAAAACTTATACTACCTACAACTTAGGAAATTAGCAATTTATCACATTTACCTTTAACCACCCTTTTAGGTTCTTCCATATCGGTATTTACCAATATATGTGTGTATTCGTATGTTTTACAACGTTTGAAATAAAACTCACTGACCTGTAAAGATATATTGTCAGCATTTGCTTTGTACCGTAGAAATATACGCTTTTCTCAAGATAAAGCTTGGGTCTTAAAGGTAATAAAAGTCACTATTATTATTCACTTCGCGGCAAGGAAACCTGAGTCACAACCAAGAAACAAACATCAAACAAAGGCAAAGATCAAATAAAATAAAGCTTACAAAGACATCCAAAGAATATTTGCGTAATTCCTTCAATCTGTGGTCTCGTTGATTAAAGTACATTAAGAAAATAGTTAGTTTTTAAGATATTAGTTATTTCAGTTTAATGTAAATTAATTTACGACAATATTAACGCTAGAAGCAAGACGAACCAAGTAATTTTATTGTATTTTATATATTTTGAAGGCGCTACACGTCACGTGTAGTCACATTTTCTTTCACAAAGATAATGCATTTTCGGAAGTAAAATAAAGATGGAAAGATATAAGCTATATTTATGAAACTTCGTAGCCACATATGTATGACGTAGCATCATTTTTTGGTAGGTTAATTCTTTTAATTTATTTCAATCTTAAATGCCGCAAAAAAAAAACTCACTGTCAAATTTTGACGTTTTGACATTGAATTTCATTACATAAAATGAAACAGCCGTCACTGCTTTGCTCTTATGTGTTTTCATAACATTAAAAGTTTTTGACTTAAAGGTAGGTTTTTCTATTTAGCCATAGAATATATGAAAAAATATCTCATGAAATAGACAAAAAAAAAGGCAGATGAAAATAGAAATATTTATCAAATGTATTTCGTTTTATTTAGTCACAAAATATTTTTCTCTAAGTTTAGTCACAAAATAAATTTCTGAACGCACCCATTTGACAACCAATAAATATGTCGATCTTTATACATAGTAAATCTAAATACACAATAATTCGAAAACTGTGTTTAATGTTGTCAATTTCAAACCCTTATTTAATAATGTTCTTTAACTTGAAGAGATCCGAGAGAGACATGAAGGCACATTTTGAATGGGAAAATAAAATTGTTGCTTTAATACTTTGTCGCATTTTTACCATATTTTCTCACCATTTATACTTTCCCTGGACTTTCACAAATATTTCAAGACCAAAAATAGTCTGGTCACTCCAGCCATTTTCGAGTTTTAGTAAGACTAACGAACAGCAAGTCATTTTTATAGATGAGAAGATAAAAAATATTTGCAGTATAGGACCGGAGGTAATGCTTTTGTTTGTTGTTCTTTTCGAAACTAGGCATAAGTTTCAGATAACCAATTACGTTACGTCACAGAAATCCATCGTTAAATTTTCCGCCTGCAAGTGGTATTCTGACGCGCGTTTCATCTTTAGACGAGTCTCTCTACAGACTTTGAAAATATTGCGATTGTTGAGATTAACAAGCCGAGAAAAAAGATTTCTTCTCAATTACTATTTTTGCATTTGTCTTCTTTTTGTCATTTGTGTTTTCCTGTTATAGATTATGTGGAATTGCAAGTACAAATATATTTACAGAGCGCCCAGAATCTAAACAGTAATAATGAGGATTTCTTTTTAAAGATAACTGCCGCTAATATACTCCTAGGATATCCTGTGTCGCGGGGGACGTTACAAACATACAAGAACCGTACACAAAGAAAACACACAGACTCAGAACAACAATTTGTGGATCACACAAAGTGTCGTCTCATGTGGGGATCGGACCCACAACACTCAGCGTAGTAGTGAACGCCATGGCGACCGCTTAAACCACTACGCCATCCGTGCAGTCATTAAGAATACGGAGTATCACCACCCCCGATTTAGGGAGCAAACTTTTGCATGATGCTCACAACCGAATTCTACCTTTGCACCGCTCCACAGCAGTTAGACTTCCATAGTTTTTAATTGGGGCCCGGCTAGTGCTAGTTTCGTGGAATTACAAGCGTCCATACGATACACTAACCGTTTATAATCAGACTGACCGTATGCTAGTGCGCCAAAAACTGCGCATACTTTTCGTTACATGCTTTATGAATAAAGTAAGCATTTTATTATATTAATTGCACAGGGTACATTTAAAAGTATCGCTTTGCCAGTTAAACTACATTAAAATCGTCTTTAGCTCGTTCGAATTGCTTTTAAAAATTTGAGTGTGTTTAAAAATAAACCAATACAACCATTATACAAACAACAATATTGGTTTTACAAGGATAAATAAATAAACACGGCTTTGCTCTAAAACAAATGTTTACGTGTCGAAATTCAGTATATTTATTGGCAAAACTCTAAAGTACGTACCATGTTGATTATAAAAACAAAAGGTTTTTTTTTTTTTTTATTAAGACGTATCTCATTTAATTTATTTATCTGTTTTTATATTGTGTGTATAATAAAGAATTGAATTGAAAATCAATAGTAGATACGCTTGTACGAGATATTTTAAAGAAATCAATTACACGTCTATCACATCTACAAATAATATAATAATAATAATAATAATATAATAATATTCTACCACATACACACAACGCCATCTAGTCCCAAACTAAGCAGAGCTTGTACTAAGGGTACTAGACAACTGATATAAATACATATATACTTTTTTTTTTGTAAATACATACATATTATACATAGAAACACCCAGACCAAATCAAACATTAAATGTTCATGCACACAAACGTTTGACTTGAGCGGGAATCGAACCCGCGACCTTTGGAATAGCAGTCCGTTAAACAAACCACCACGCCATCCGGTCGTCAATAAATAATAAAATAATAATGATGTTATAAATACTTTTGCATCTTATTTATCAAAATGAAAGATTAAATTAATCAAGATTACTTTTTAAATAGATTCCTAGGTCTAAAATAGATATCATTTTTTTTTTATTATATTTAAATTTAAAAAAAGTGTTATATTTAACGAAAATGTTCTTTGCAGGGTCTCTGATTACAGCAATTGTTTTAATTGCTTTCAAGTTCTGAAGGCTTAATGCATGAATGCCCTTTAAACATTATTATTTCCGCTTAGAAAACGTTTTGATAAGTTCAGCATGTTTTGTTTTATAATTCATTTAAATAACAGTTAACACTATAACTCATTCTTTAATTTAACAACCGTTCAGCTCTCAGTTACTTGCTTAACTCAAAGTCAAACTAGACTTAATCATCTGTTATATTACGTTTGTGTATCATCTTGTGTTTTTCTTTAAGAGTGTTAAACTATATAAGTAATCAGCTACTTCCTTCTCGTCGAACACCGAACTGAATGCAGACAAAAAATATGAGACGATTTAGGAAGGAATTTGTGTTTCTTTTATCAAGTTACATCAGTTTTTTTATCAGTTGTTACGTCATTGAAAACAGATAAAATGGATAATTCAAGATTATGGTCCATGTATGCTTTTTTATTTATTGAGTATTGATACTACAAGTTTCCATTATAATTTGGTTTGCCTTTGTTAACAAAGCTAAGGGAAGCACACAAATCATCCGGCGTAGTTACCGGGCATGATCACATCTCAGGTTCATAAGCAAATGGCTTGGCACACATCACTGTTTCTATGTTAAATATTTTGTAACACTTACCACAAAGTCATTGTAGCATACGGGAGCCAGCAACAAGCAAATACAGTAACTATGGTAACTGTCATTCTCAGAGTTCTCCTCCTTGCTCGTGCCAGCGGTCTCTGGTCTGATCTCCTTAGCATCACTCGACTGTGGTCAGATGGATGACATTTTTCTAAAAAAATATTCAGAAAGTTAAACATTATACATAAGTTGACTAATTATTACTAATTATAGTTAATAATTAAGTTAGTAGATAAACTTAAAAAAGCTGTCATTAGTACTACGAGTAATGCGGAGGAATTTTACTCTACTCGTATTTTGTGTTACTTGTTTTCGAAACATCCTTTTATTTGTTAACCATGCAACAACATTCACAATTTACTTAACATAGTTAAATCCTCTCCATGACAACCATCCATGCAAGAAGGTTATGACTTCGTATGGTAAACTATTGTCATTAAGTGTGTAAATTTAACCTCCCATAACTTATTGTGTTTCTTTTTATGTTTATATCAGATTTCAAATCTTTGAAAATATAGAAGAGTAATAATTCATTAATCACATACAATAAGTCCTTATGGTCATGTTTATCTTCATCTTTACGTTCGTCCAATAGGCGGCTGCCATTTTTTTTAAATTATTATTGTTAATTTGTATATATGCAAAATTTGGTGTATAATAAAGACTATATATATGTACTAGATCTATATATTAACATAGGCAGTGAACCTAAATAGTTTGAAAGCGTGAATCTGTTATACGTCTCTACATAAATCGTATGAGTTTCGTGAACTTGAAATCCTATGACACGTGGCTGTCGGTTCAAATAAAGTTCCTGACAACTTGAGATACAAGTTCAAGTTCTCGTAATCATCTCATAGGTTGTGTTAACAAAGGTCTTCGTAAAACTAATTAATGGAATAATCTTGCGCATAACGTTTAAATAAAGGGTTTCAAACTAAGTTCTTGAAAAGCTATTAGAATTCAGCGCAAATATATATCTTTTCTTAGGTCACAGCCTTTATTCATCGGTTGTTAACTATTTGATGTATAATAGTGTAATAGAATGAATCTTAATGGGAATGTAACTTTTATTCAAGATGCTGCTACAAAAAAAACGGGATGTTTCATAATATACACAACAATTGTTTTTCCTCTTTGGTATTAAAACTCGTAAAAGGATATACACATACATATTTATATCGACAGTATCTCTGGAGTATATAAATATGTAACAGGCATGTGGTAAATATTTTATTACGTTTTAGGGACTAGTACAAGTAAGTAAGTGATCTTTAACAATGAATTCTGAATCTTCTGTTACTGATTCTGTATTTAGTATACCAACACAGAACTAATAAATAATAATAATAATAAATCGACAAGTTCTGTAACTAGAGTTACTATATTTTTATTAGTTACTTAGACTAATATTAATAACACTGCCAACCCATACACGGCCGTTGAATCCCAAACTAATCCTTTACTATGGTAACCAGACCTCTTATAAATATCCTTATTCATTACTACATTAAAACACTAAAGCTATTGCTAAATATTTCATCAAAAGTATCTTACCCGAATTTTCTTTGGAATTTTTAGATATTTCGTAGAAAATACAGGCGTAGCACACCGTTATAATCATCAATGGTAAAAAGTAAACTGCGCATAAGCAAAAAACGTTATACGCCAGTTCTTGATGTTGATTAGCAAATGCCTCGAAAGACACACATTGCTGGAAATCCGGAACACTTGGATGATTCATAACTTGAAACACTAGGCTCTGGAACAACAGAAAAAGTTATTAAGCATGTGTGTTTTTTCTCACAATTACTTGTCAAAAACGGTTTTTCTTTTGCTAAAGTTTACAAACACTTACAAAACTTGAGGGTCAATTGTCGTAATAAAAGTTTGTTCAAAACTCAGTTCCGATCTACTCTCGATCACATTTGTGCAAGTCATGAAAGGTAGTTTTGTAGTAAATATGATCACTAAGTAAATATTACTAAGACTGATTTAACTTTCGATCATAATACGATAAAATCAGAAATCAGTCATGTTGGATATTTAATACTTTACTACGAAAATACACTTTTCAGGATGCAAATTGCACGTTGCTAAACCTACAAAAACCTTTTTTTTGTTTTTGCAAAAAACCATGTACCGTATAGTATAACCAGGTACTATCAATTGAAATCAAGACTGATGAGTCATTTATGAATACTTTTGAAACCAAAAGTCGAATAATAAATTGCAAAAATATAAGATGCATTCCTAGATTAATGATATTAGCATTCCGAATTCTTCGGTATAGATAACGTTCTAGCTAAGATAGCTGATTTACTTTTAAATCAAATATAGATAACGTTCTAGCTAAGATAGCTGATTTACTTTTATTTATACCAGGATACCAGGGATTTCCTTTCTAGGGTACACCTGGTGGGGGTTTTGATTGTTTTTAACCGACTTCAAAAAAGGAGGAGGTTCTCAATTCATCGTAACCTTTTTTTTATGTGTGTTCACGGATTATTTGAAGACGCCTGAACCGACTTGGAAAGTTCTTTACTTGTTTGAAAGGGTATACTTACCGGGTGGTCCCATTTAAATTTTACCGAAACCGGTTGAGCGGTTATTGAAAAATCATTAAAAATCTAAACATTGCATACATCGATGCAGATCCTCCCTTTGTTGGTTGTATTGGAGGAACTTGAAGCCCATTCTCTCGCACTGTTTTAAAAAGTAATAAAATAGTAGGATTTTTTTTTTCTAATAACTGAACTTGGTTTATAAATTATATGTATACCTGCACTTAATATATTACACATAACAATTTTATTTTCTTTCTTTTTTTTGTCTAATATTTTAATATGCCTACTAGGATTCAGATTATGAATTTATAAATAATTGAAATATGGTTGATTGGACTTATCGTGCTGTAGTAGGGGAGCCCATGATGCTAAATGGGGATTTACTCGAGCATCACGGGAACGTGCTGCATTTGAAAGATTAGGTAAAATAATGAATAAAAACTATATAATATTTCCACTTTAAGCGGTGGGAAATGCTTCGAAAGGTTTTCAAAACTGTAAGAGGAGGAAATCGAAAACCGAAAATTCGGGCGCTTCACATATTTTGGGGATATGTTATTTGGACGCCAAAAAGCTCCCATTGAAAAGTCTAACGATTTTAAAGTGGCACAAACTGGACCGAATTATCGAAAATGCAAACTGCAAATTCGAAAAATCGCCATTTCGAATTATCCGAGCGTGTTAGATTTTATACAGACGGTTCAGCTTAATGTTCCTGTCATGCTAGCCAAAAATCTGACGAGAATTTTGCAGGGTATTTTAAATCTGATGGTTTGAAATATTTTGATTTTCGTAAAATGTGACAAATAAAGGCACGAAAAATTATGTAGATATTTAAGAAAAGTTTCTTTCATTGTATGTTTAAAAATAAAAAAAATGTCAAAGTCATGTGTATTTTTTTGGAATTTAATGACCCTCCCGTTGCTTTAAATTACGCTCAAACTGACTGATTTTTAAATACTACTAATGCGTATGTAATTGACTCGACTTACATACCTTTACTCATAGTTAATTTTAGTCCCTCAGTAAACCGGGCCTATATATATTTCTAAATCAACATACTCATATTTTTTATATACTTATATTATAAATGTGAACGTGAGTTTGTTTGTTTATTTGTTTGCTTTCACGCCTGAACCACAAAACTGCTTTTAAAAATTCTGTCACCAACGGAAAGCTATATTATCAGTGGGTAATTAGCATTTTGAAAGAATTACTGGAATATATACATATATATAGAAAGCATTTCCAGTAATTGACATAAAATAATATACACTGTGCTGACCATTCCACAGAATAGCAGTTTAAACCTCTACCCATATCAGGGTGTAATTTATCTATATGTTATGTGAATATTACTCACTGATATATATATGTATATATATATATATATATACATATGATGATTGATTTCTATATACCATTTGAGTTAACGGGATGCAACAATTACAACATGCACACCAACTGGAGAAAACTCAACTAAATTGCTTTGTATTTGCAATGGTTACACAATTTATGAAAACAAGACAAAATATCGTCCTAAAAAAGGTATACCTAATCTTGTTTGCATACTTGAACGTGATCCTCTCCTGTAATGTATCAAGATTGTTTCTGAAGATATTCAAAGAAATATTTTTAATAAACTGAGCGTTATATGAGATTTTTTGTGGTCCTGAAGAAAAATATGATTATATCTCGAGGAAATTAGCACAAAATTGCTGGAAGGCGTACACAAAATATTACTATTCAACAATAGACCCTATCTTTCTTAATGTATTCTTCTTTTTACCCTTTTTCCTAATTTTTTTGTTAACTTTTCTTCTTCAGTTCTCCTCTATCACTCGTCAAATCACTGTTTGCTCCCTTTCTGATAGAAAGGAGTCTTAATTTCATTGCAATTAAGGCGAGGTGACCGCTTCGAATCCGGAACCGAATCAACTATATCATCAATCAATTTTATTTTCTCACAGCTCAAAGAGCTTTATGCATCTCCATAAAGCGCATAAAAACTATATTAAAACCTGGTCTTCCGTAAGATAGTTCAATACGAGGAGATAGACTCCTGTGACAAAATCTCAGTAATATAAACAAAATCTATAACAAAAATGAAAAAAATCGAAGAAAAAAGCTATGAACCTAAACTATAATGAAGAAATAAATCTCTCATAAAGAATTCAAAGTACGCTTTTAAGAGGAAAATTGTTTACTCGGCATTAATAAATTATAACGAAAGGTCTGGCCATTACTTGTACAATCTTTTTAGACGTCCCAATTCACTTGCACCCGTTTATAATAAAAATATATTTGAGACTGTAATTTTTTGAAAATTTGACGACAAATTTGGATAAAACTAAAAGTAAGGTAGTTGATAGCCGCCATATACACAGGCATAGGCGAACCTAGATACCTTAGATAGTTTTAGTCACATATTAAACCTCTAAAAAATTTTCTTTGTAAAAAACATAATAATGACGCATAAACGTACAGCAATATTTGCCACAAAATCCGTATTAGCTGAACATACTTCAGTTTCTTTCACCAAATCATGGCAACAGAAATGATTTCCTTGGCTACTTTATCAAACCGTTAAAGAACAAGAATAAACTTCACCACGTAAAATGTTAATCTATCGGTAAGACTAAAAATATCCATGCCAGCCAACTATTCAATAAATTCTCAGCTTTACATGCCAGTGGCTTACTTACGTCGCTCGTGTTTCGTCAGACAGCCATTGCAATTACGAGCTTCAATAACATACAATGTTATTGGAGCTCGTAATTGCAATGGCTCACAACTCTGAGCTACAGAGTAATGTTGGTACATAAGCTTCATTCTACGAGAACTTAAATACTAAGCCAAAAAAAACGAGAATCAAATAAGAACTACGGTATTCGTTCGGTTTTTTTTTTCTCACAATTGTGTGCTGTAAACTCTGGAACGTAATTAGATAAACACTTTACACTTGCGATTGTTAGAATTCTAAGTTGCATTAATTACCTTGGTTACATTAAACAATTAAAGAATCAAATTCAATAACTTTAAAAAAGTAGAACCCACTTCAATGAATACGATGTAATTGTAATAAACTATACTTGGGTCAATTTCAAATGAAAAAACAATTTTACAAATCGGTTTATAAAGTATAGAGTAAAGGTAAACAAAAATACATCCAAAATGAGAACACTCTTTGTTTAACTTGGTTGAAAATCAGGTTCTTGCTCATAATTAAAGTGTGAATAGTTGCAGCGTATAGTGATGGATTAAGAACACGGAGTGTAACCACTCCTGTTTATCGAGTGGGTGTCGAGAGTGTCGGCCCTCGACACCGACAAACTCAAGAGAGCAAATTATACAGGACAAACCCCCCCTTTCTAAGGAGAAGTATGTTGATGTAAGTTGCAGCTATTAATGAACATCAAATAAAAGAATATTCATATAAGCTCAAAAAAAAACCACACGAATAGGTTCATTTTTCTTCGTTGTTTAAATAATCGTAAAAGAATATCTCAAGATACAGAAAAAAATATACAGCAGCAATTTCAAAACACATTAGGGCATTTTAAAGGAGTTAATTTTAGAATACAGAAATAATATTTACCAGCTTCGCTCCGCATCAACATGATTCTTTTAAAATATCTGAAACAAACTAGTCTGGCGGCTGATTCAATAGTTGTAAAAGTTTCTACTCTATAAAGTACAGCGCCTGGCGCTATTTTTGTGTTTGATAATATTAGTTAACGCGTTCACCAGCCAGCGCCCATTGATATTCCAATCGGAGCCGATCTTTTTTAGGAACTTTTTGGCCTCAATCTCGCTCCTAATTTACCTATACTAAGAAGTTCTCAATTAGGTTGGTTGATATCCGGTCCTGGGTATTAATATTAATTTCCCTCCCAACAATAAATATATTCACCGATCAGTCACAGATGCACTGAAGCAAGGATGCTTTAACCTTCGTAAGTTCAAGACCAATAAACTTTTCTTTAATCTATCAGATTATGAAGATCATAATCTTATGATAAGCAAGTCTAGAACTAATACTCTAGAAATGGGGTTAGACACATATACAGATCAATTACATTTTTCTATTAAAATTCCACTTTCTTTCTTCTAATGTTAATAAGCTAAGTAAAAGATCTATGCTATCTTCTATATTTAAAATGTTTCATCCCTTGGGGTGATCAGCCCATGCATA